TCAGAGACAACGTCTAGTTCTTTTTCTGCTGTACAGGAAGCCATATCCAGCCTTTGGCCGTCTATTTTTTCAGTTCTTGCCGTGACACCACAAAAGATGATTAATATCTCAAAATAATTTCACTATGGGGTCTCCGGCGGCACGTATAATTGATTCACAGAAAAGCTAAATAGCTTTGACATACAAATGCTGGAAACTTTGAAGAAATACTGTGTTTGTTCGAAGAGAGAACATTTACCATTTCAGTCAGTACTAGTGCCCTTATGAGCCGCTAAATTTACAGAGCGAGCAAGTCCGGAGTTTAACAATCAAAAAGTATGCTACATATTTTAGAAGTGAAACAATCTCTAGTTCTTTTCAATACTCAAAAAATTGTGATCTACAAGATGCCATATGCAGTCTTTGGGCATCTATTTTTTCAGTTATTTCCGTGACACCACAAAACATGATCAACATCTCAAAATAATTTCACCATGGGGTCTCCGGCGGCACGTAATTGATTTACAGAAATATCTAAATAGATTTGACATACAAATGCTGGAAACTTTGAAGAAATACTGTGTTTGTTCGAGAAGGGAACATTTACCACTCAAAACTAGTGCGCTAATGAGCCGCTAAATTTGCGGAGCGAGCAGGTCCGGAGTTTAACAGTAAAAAATTGTGGCACATATTTTAGAAGTGAAACAACATTTAGTTCTTTTTGTGCTGTACAGGAAGCCATATGCAGCCTTTGACCGTCTATTTTTTCAGGTCTTGCCGTGACACCACAAAAGATGATTAATATCTCAAAATAATTCACTATGGGGTCTCCGGCGGCATGTATAATTGATTCACAGAAATATCTAAATAGCTTTGACATACAAATGCTGAAAACTTTGAAGAAATACTGCGTTTGTTCGAAGAGAGAACATTTACCATTTCAGTTAGTACTAGTGCCCTTATGAGCCGCTAAATTTACAGAGCGAGCAAGTCCGGAGTTTAAGAAACAAAAATTACGCTACAGATTTTAGAAGATAAACAGTCTCTAGTTCTTTTCAATACTCAAAAAATTGTGAACTACAAGATGCCATATGCAGTCTTTGGCCATCTATTTTTTGAGTTATTTCCGTGACACCACAAAAGATGATTAACATCTCAAAATAATTATACTATGGGGTCTCCGGTGGCACGTAATTGATTTACAGAAATATCTAAATAGGTTTCACAAACAAATGCTGGAAACTTTGAAGAAATACTGTGTTTGTTCGAGAAGGGAGCATTTACCACTCAAAACTAGTGCCCTAATGAGCCGCTAAATTTGCGGAGCGAGCAGGTCCGGAGTTTAACAGTAAAAAATTGCGGTACATATTTTAGAAGTGAGACAACCTCTAGTTCTTTTTGTGCTGTACAGGAAGCCATATGCAGCCTTTGGCCGTCAATTTGTTTAGTTCTTGGCTTGACACCACAAAAGATGATGAACATCTCAAAATAGTTTTACTGTGGGATCTCCGGCGGCACGTGATTGATCTACAGAAATATCTAAATAGGTTTGACATACAAATGCTGAAAACTTTAACGAAATACTGTGTTTGTTCGAAGAGAGAGCAATTACCATTTCAGTCAGTACTAGTGCCCTAAAGAGCCGCTAAATTTTCGGAGCGAGCAAGTCCGGAATTTAACGGTCAAAAATCGCGGTACGTATTTTAGAAGTGTTAGAACAATATTTGTCAAAGTTAAATGAAAAGTAATTCATATGGCTTTTGTTTTGTAAAAGTCTTAGTTTGACAGGGCTTAAATCTGTCGCGAACGAATCCGTAATATTTGCTCCTCGGAAAACAACTGTTCCGTTAGTTGAAAACCGACATTAATTGGTATTTGTTATGTAGAAAATTCCGCTAACTTGGCGCCTGTTGAAAATGCTAGTAGTAGTGCGCAGCATCATTGGTACTGTGTAAGTGGTGAGAACGACTATAAAACCTCGTTATATTGATACTTCACCCTAAAAACCACTGCCCTGTCAAATAATTAGAGTTCTGAGTTTGCGCTGGGAGTGCAAACAAACTAACTGTCGAATTTTGAAACGATTCGAAACAGTTTGAAAGAACAACTCGGTTTTAATTTCTTGGGTCATTCGTGTTTTGGATCAAAAGCTTTTAATAACATGCTAAGCCTTTGAATTGCAGCTGTTCACTAATTTACAAAAGCTGATTATTCTGGGTTGTAAGTGTACTTTATAAACATTTTTAAAGAGAAATTTCGTTAATTAGAGAAGTCAGTCACGTCTGTACCCCAGATTTGTTTTAATCAAGGTTTTAGTTATGTTGCTAAAATGTGTTTGCCCCAGCCTTAGATGAGAAACACCTTTTTTCACATGATCTTATTCACTCTAGTATCACATACTTCAGAAGTGAAGAGTATCACAGAGTTTAAAGGTTTGCATCATTCTATTGGAATCATTTCCATCAGATGATGAAATTTTAATTTAGTTGCAGATAGTCTGTCGATGAGTTTTTGTGGCGATGCCACATTTGTTGTCGAGATGAGTGAGGTAGTAAGGGTAACAACAGAATTCCGATCTTAACCCAATTTTGACCCGATGTTTCTCGGTCCTACTTATTCTTTGTTTTGGAGTACTACAGAAAACAACAAACATCTCCAAGTAACTTCAGGACGACGGGTGAAAAACGAAGCTTTTCCTCGAAGAAATGTCTAGAAAGGTGTGATCGGTGCATCACTTAAATTTAGGGATATATGTTTTTTTGAAGGGAGAGAATTTTACCTTTTGAATCAACGAATTATACCTAGTAGATCCAAAGCTATGATTTTATCAGTTCTTGGTTTGACACCACAAAAGATGATAAACGCCTCATAATTATTTGACAATGGCGTCCCCGGAAAACAACTAAAACGGGTTATTGAAAGCAAACAATGATTGTTATCTGTTATGTAGAAAATTTCGTAATCCTGGCACCTAAACTCCGTAGCTCTGAGCTATTTCTCGTATTTTGGTAGATGTTCTGAAATCTATAACTATTTTACAGAGGAAAACAGAAGATTAGCCCTACCGAGGGAAAAAGACTTTGCCGGAGAAAACTACATTATTTTGCGAGCGAAATAGAAAATTTTCAATAGGTGCATACCGATATTAGGAATGGCGGAGACGTACAGTCGTTCTATCGCAGCGTAAGTTAGTTTTTTTCACGTTCCAATTTGTAGAGATTTTTACTAGTCACTTGGTTGATATGAAATTTTTCTAGAGCTTTCGTTTCGAGCATTAGCCCTTCGTCAAAAGCGAAAACAAGTATATAAAGTTTTACTTTACTTATATCTCTGGGGCTTTTGTTTTTTTCTATATGATTTGGAAACTGTGGTGTTATGTCAAGCACTGCAAGAGAGTAGCAGAAGATCTAAAGCAATATGACACCATAAAAGATGAGAGGGAGCTTATCAAACATAAATTTCCACTTCAACGTAATCCCAAGAAATCAAATCAACTATTACAAGTGAAATCTGAATTACTCTGTACACAAGTAGAAACACAGAATGTAAAACCAACCATTGAATAGTGGAGATGTTGTACCATATGTGAAGTCATCTTGAAAAAAACTGAACGTGAATCTAAAATGAGTTGAATAGAAAATAGTTCGGTTTGTCATAACTCAGTTCATTAGTATTCAAAATTCTTAGAAAATAAACAATATGAAAATTTGAAAAACGCTCTACAATTCTCATTAGTATTCAAATTCTCGAAAATAAACAATAGACCGTTCAGAGTAAAAACATGTGATAGCTTTTCTCAAAAATGACTTGCAATAAACAATGTTTACTTGAATTCATCAACAAATCTCATAGGGTTCCCTTCTCACATCTGTGAAGGATAAGAAAGAGATTTTTAAAATTAGATAAATATATCGCTTCCTTTAGAGGTAACAGCGTTACACTCGCCGCAAACACTGTCACACTCGACGCAATTTCATAAAACGAATCGAAGAGAAATAATGTTTAATGTAATCACTCAGTTGATACATTAAAATTTCTCCGGAAATAAAATTAATGATAAGGTTATTGCGAAAAACACAGCGGCATGCTCACGAACATTCACAATAATCAAAAAAATTAACAATAGAGCAGACAAATTAGGGGTAAATACAAAGAGACATTACCACGGTCGCTACGTGACCGCATTCCGGAGGTCCACAGGCACGGAAAAGAGGAAGAAAGAGGAGAAGAGAGGAAGAAAGAGGAGGAGAGAGGAAAGAGGAGGAGAGAGGAGGGAGGAGGAGGAGAGAGGAGGGAGGAGGAGGAGAGAGGAGGGAGGAGGAGGAGAGAGGAGGGAGGAGGAGGAGAGAGGAGGGAGGAGGAGGAGAGAGGAGGAAAGAGGAGGAGAGAGGAGGGAGGAGGAGGAGAGAGGAGGAAAGAGGAGGAGAGAGGAGGGAGGAGGAGGAGAGAGGAGGAAAGAGGAGGAGAGAGGAGGGAGGAGGAGGAGAGAGGAGGGAGGAGGAGGAGAGAAGAGGAAACAGGAGGAGAGAAGAGGAAAGAGGAGGAGAGAGGAGGAGGAGTAAGGAGGGGGGAGGAAAGAGGAGGAGGGGGGAGGAAAGAGGAGGAAAGAGGAGGAAAGAAGAGGGAGGAGGAGGAGAGAGGAGGAGAGAGGAAGGAGGAGGGAGGAGGAGGAGAGAGGAGGAAAGAGGAGGAGAGGGGAGGAGAGAGGAGGAGAGAGGAGAGAGGAGGAGTTACGTGAATTGTGTGTCTCCCCGAGTATTCACCTTTTCCACATTAAAACATCGTTCCATTTTTATAACACGTGTGATTAAAGTCAATGACTTGTCTGTCAAAATTTCTACCAAGTTATTATGAGTTACGACATGCGTCAATCAGTGATAAACCAATGGAAATACAGTAATGGGTGTATAAAAGTGGTAGTGAGAGCTTTATCCGCAAGTAGAAAAAAGATGTGAATATAGTCACATAGCAATAAAAAAGATTTATTCTATCCTAAGCATCACAAAGAATGGAGTTATTATGTACTTCACTTGGACAGCTAGACTATGTATCGAAATGGTATGATGAAAATCTACCAAACCCGTCTCTATGCGAATTAGGGACCAAAAGTGATGACGAAGGAAGTTCGATATCACCCAATCAGACAAGTAGTGTATCTCACTGAAAAGCAACCCTACATAGAAGTGAAAGAGAAGGTAAATACAATCAAACCGTTCCTGAATACTCCGTTTAAACACAAAGTAAAAAAGGTAAAAGAGAGTCAGCATTGCAAGTACATGAATAAGAGGTTCTACACATGACCTCGAAATCTAGACGTGTTAAAGCGGTTAGAAGAATTAGAAGGCTATCCAAAATAGGCTGTAGCTCATATCTTAATAATAAAGGAAATAATTGAAAACGACTTATATCGCGAAACATGCATGAACCCATGGTACCACTAACAAACGTGGATAAAAAGTGTGTTTTTTGTGTCTGTGGATTTTATCGCTTAGTTCTTTTTTTAAAAAAATGATCAATAGAGCAGACAAATCTGGGAAAATACTGTCCAAGACTGTCTCGTGGTCTAATTGTACTGCTTAAGACTTTGCAAGAAGAGAAATTACCACGGTCGCTAGGCGACCGCATTCCGAGCCGGGGAGAGGAGGGGAGAGGAGGAAAGAGGAGGAGGAGGAGAAAGAGGAAGAAAGAGGAGGAGGAGGAGGAGGAGGAGGAGGAAGATGAGGAATAGGAGGAAGGAAGAGGAGGAATGGAAAGAATAGGAGGAGGAGATGTGTAAATACTTATGTCTATCACTGTTATAAACTGTTTGAAAAAAGGTTGTCTCATTTGTTAGTGACAATGGCTTACCACGAGAAATTAGATCATCATTTAGCGTTGCTTTATATGAGCCCTACGTGTCCACACATTGTGTACACATTTCATGTCAATGACGAAAAGAAGACGGATCACGCGAATGTGTTACTTCATCACATATTGGGGTATGATGACACATTAACCGGAGAAATGCATTATCGATTGGTTTCGCAAGTCAGACTATGACGATGTGTGGATCTTTTTAAACGTATTACGTCTCGTCATCTATTATCTAGATCACTTGAAGACAATGAAAACTACTAAAGATTACCTGTGGTATTGCCAAGGTGGTATTGACGACCACATTTTGAAAAAAGTCACACATTATGCGAGTCCTAAGGAAGAACATAAGCAGTTGTCATTACATATTTACTTATTGGTATGATTTTATAACAGTCGGTAACAAGCTTCGTCATTATGGTCACAACTATGAAGATATCATGGCTGCTTACAATAGATATTATGTCAGCTTACACCTAGATGGAAAAATCATCCAATGCATTTTTCGATTGATCACTGACATCGAGGGTATGACAGAATATAAACACTCTTTAAAATGTTATCGATTACGCCATAAAAACTATAAGATTCTTAGAGAGTTAATAAGCATAGAAGTCTAAGCACTGCGTCGATGCATACGAAGACTGAATCGAAGACTTAGCATCTCATTCGTAATTATCTGAAGCCAGCGGATAATCTTCGTGTTTGTTAGACACAATGGAGAAGGAGGTATAAATCAAAATAAATTTCGAAGTGTCAACGACCTTCCTCATTTCTTGCATGCTCACGAAGACTGCAGACGATGGCGAGTACTCAGGACCTAACCGCGACTCTAAAGACT